ATTCACGCAGAGCCAGCTGTGCAGGAGACCAGAGTTTTATGAGTATTCAAATCACTATCCTCTAGCATTCGGGGATCAGAGTTTTTAAGGATAATTTGGTGGGTGGTGGCCAGTGAGTCAGGAGTGCTGATTGGCAAGGTCAGAGAGAAATCATAGGGAGTCCAAGTTGTCATCTTGCTTTGAGTCAGTTCCTGGGGACCACAAGATCAGATGAGCCAGTTTATCAGTCTGAGTCATGCCAGTGGATGCATCAAGTCCAGGGTCTGCAAAATATCTCAAGCAGTGATCTTAGTTTTAAAAACAGTGATCTCCAGGGGCAATGTTGGGAGGGTCAGAATCTTGTAGCCTCTAGTTACATGACTCTTAAACCATAATTTCTAATCTTGTGGCTAATTTTTAGCCCTACAAAGTCAGTCTAGTCACCAGGCAAGAAGGTTTGTTTTGGGAAAGGGCTGTTTTAAACTATAAACTACAAACTAAGTTCCTCCCAAAGTTACTTTGGCCTACTCCCAGGAATGAACAAGGACAGCTTGGAGGTTAAAAGCAAGATGGAGTTGGTTAGGTCAGATCTCTCTCTCTGTCTCAGTTATAATTTTGCAATGGTGGTTTCACAACAAGCTATGGTCTTGCCACTGCACTCCAGCCTGGGCAACAGAGTAAGCAAGATCCTATCTCTAAAAAATAAAATAAAAATAAAGAAGACCCAATTGAACCACACTGTACCCAGGCTTCTGGGCTACAGAACTGTGAGATAATACTTAGGTGTTGTTTTAAGCCACTGAATTTGTGGGGATTTGTTCTGGCAGCAATAGAAAATGAATGGAGGCCATCAGTGAGGTCAGATGGGACCTCAGTGGGAAGATTTGCCATTGCCTGTGGCCAGGTAAGATCCTTGGGCTGCGAAGCATCTCTCTGCTGCACTTTGCCGATTGCACAGTTAATGAAATAAAACCCCTGAGCCCAGGACACTGGGATTTTCATCTCCATCTCACAACCGCTTTCTTTCTGGGCAGGAGCTTCCCTCAGTCCGACAAATTTGGAGTTCCACAGCCTTCCCTGGGAAGCAGAATGTGGTCATTTCCTTATCCTGTCAGGGAGCTTGCCCAGCCCAGTACAGCCAAGCTCTACAGAAGCTGTTATCAAAACAGGAACTTTGGTTTCATGTGTCTAGTACTTCCGGCTGCAAAGCGGAGGCAGACTTACTCTGCAGCAAAAGCAAAGCATCAAGTAAAGCATTTCTGTGAAAGGCCTGGCAAGCAGGAGTGTCAGCTCTCTGAAGACTACCTCTTGTTCAGCAAAGTGAAATAGTCTGTAGAAATAGGGCTGAACAAAGAGCTCTGGTGGTTTTGCCCTGGATTCCCCATAAATGGTTGGCTTCCTTGGGTAGAGTTCAGTGGGAACGAGGCCAAGGTCAGGGATTGGTTCTGCAGGCAGGCCAATGAGCTCCAGTCTATTTTGTGGAGAAAGCCTCCCTCTAATTCAAGATGTTTTTATCGAGCACCTATTATTTGCCAGGTCCTGTGCTAGGGGCTAGAAAAGGAGAAACAGAGTTAGATCCTCCCACAAAAGTCTGCAAGATGTTGGGGAGCCATCACCAACAGGGCAAAGGATGCACGAATGCTATCTAGAGGCTCATGGGAAATGGGTCATGGGTACAGAGGTAGGAGACACTAATTCTGCTTGCATATTCCCAGTGAAGTGTCACAGGAGAGAGGGCATTTGAGCCGGACTTTGACTGAGAGTCAGGGATAAAAAATAGTTGATGACATGTACTTGGTGCTTTACATTTTATAATTTCACTTCAATAGAATTTTGGCAGGCAGGGCATAGGTGAGGTGTTTTAATGTAGAAAACTGTAGGATTAGGTATACATGGGCATAAAGATGTAAAAGATAATGATATTTCTAGCAACTAGATATTCCCATTGGTATTGGGGTATTGTGGCTTCTAGTTCTCAGTGGAAAGGGAATCTATCCAGATATGTCCCTGATTTACATTAGATAGATTTACATCAGGAACATACCTACATAGATTCCATACCTATCCATATGGATTCAAATCTATATGATTTTACACCAATGTCTTCAATTCCAAACAGCACCTCAAAGTTCAGTTTAGTTTTCTCACTTTCCATATATATATATATATATATTTTTTTTTTTTTTTTTTTTTTTTTGAGATTGAGTCTTGCTCTGTTGCTTAGGCTGAAGTGCAGTGATACAATCTCGGCTCACTGCAACCTCTGCCTCCGGGGTTCAAGCAATCCTCCTGCCTCAGCCTCCCAAGTAGCTGGGATTACAGGTGCCCGCCACCACGCCCCAGCTAATTTTTGTATTTTAGTAGAGATGGTATTTCACCATGTTGGTCAGGCTCTTCTTGAACTCCTGACCTCAGGTGATTCACCTGCCTTGGCCTCCCACAGTACTGGGATTACAGGCCTGAGCCACCACACCTGGCCTCACTTTCCATATTTTTAACTCCCTTCTCCACAGTGTTCCTGGAGAATAAAATGCACTGAGATAGAGACGACAGATGTGAAGGATGGTTTGGAATCTGCCAGGGAAGCCCCTGAGTGCCATGATAAGATAAAAGACTCTCAGGTATTGGTGAGTTATTCAAAGTTTCTGAGAAGAGAGTGATAAGATTCAACCGGAAGAGTAAAGTTAACAGACACTTAAATAGAATCAAATAAGATTTTTAGGTAGAAAGGGAAGGCCTGGGGGCATTTGTTGCAGAGTGGTAAAAATGATCTTGGACTGAGTTCAGTTTGGTTGCTAGAGAGCTCCATATGATGCCCAGTGTGATAAGCTCAGCAAAATTTCTTCACTTTCTGGAATGCTTTTTACTTGGAATCTGAAAGTCACTGTGGAGGTGCTTGAGAGGTTACACTGTGCATGTTTACCCATCATCCATGTCGTAACAAGGACCCATTACTACCCAGGAGGGAGGTTTCTACATAAGGATTTTATAAATGGGTAACCTGTGTCACAGTGAGGCTGGGGTTTGTTGTCAGAGGACACTGGAATTCTTTTTTGATGATTATGTATAAGTCAGGATGTCTTTTGTGGCAAATAATTGAAAACCCAACATGACAAGCTTAACCAGCGAGGAATTTTAGTGACTCCTGTGGCTGACAGTCCAGAGGAATCAGGACGGGTTTGATCCTGTGGTCCCAGATCTTTCTCTGTGATCCTGTTGGTTCTGCTTTCTTCTCAGGCTGGCAGTGAGGCAATCACATGATTTTCTGGGTCCCATCTCAATGCCTGGGATTATCCAGAGGAGAAAAAAAGTTTCTTTCAGGAAGCCTTCAGGTGAAGGAAAAAAGACTTTTCTAGAAGTTTTCAGTAATATTAATAGTCTCCTTGTATCTTAAGAACATTTCTTTCTATTTGTTTTATTTTCTTTCTATTTTTTGGGAAACAATCTAAAATTTAGAGAAAAGCCTCAAGAACTGTACAAAAAAGTTATTTCTTTTACAAATTATTTGAGAGTAATTTGCTGACATGGAGTTCTGTGCATCAGGGTAATTTAGTGTATATATATATTGCCGATGGAACAAACACACTCTCCTACAACACCAAAATTCTAAATCACAGATGCCATTCCAGTTTTGTTTGTTGTTGAGACACAGTCTCATTCTGTCAACCTGGCAAGAGTGTAATGGTGCGATCTTGGCTCACTGAAACTTCCACCTCCCAGGTTCAAGTGATTCTCCTACCTCAGCCTCCCAAGTAGCTGGGATTACAGGTGCGTGCCACCATGCCTGGCTAATTTTTGTATTTTTAGTAGAGCTGAGGTTTTACCCATGTTGTCCAGGCTGGTCTTGAACTCCTGACCTCAGGTGATCCACCTGCCTCAGCCTCCCAAAGTTCTGGGATTACAGGCATGAGCCACTGCGCCCGGCCTTCCATTCAAGTTTTGTCACTTGTCCAGATAATGTCCTTCACAGGATCTCCAATTTTAATTACTTTGACATTTTAAAAGACTATATAGCCCAGTTATTTTATTGATGATCCCTTGGTTTGGTTTTATCTAATATTTCCTTATGATTGGATTCAAATATTTTGCATCTTTGGCGGGAATATCACAAAAAATAATGCCGTGTTTGTTTCATTGCATCTTATGACCTGGCACATGATTTTGATTTATTTCATTGTGGGAGATGTTAGTTTTGACCACTTGATTAAAACAGTATCTGCCAGGCTTCTCCACTGTCCTTAACTTATTTTTTCCTTTGTTTATTAAGTTGCAGGAAGATACTTTGAAACACTGTGAATATATACCTTCTCATCAAACATTTAGAATCTTAATTTATCTATATTAGTATAAACTCATGAATTCCTAATTCATTTAGTGGGTTATGATCTGTAACTATTGTTATTTATTTTGTTACTGAGACTCTTTTTTATTTGACGGGTGGGAACCCCTTTCAGGTGGGCTCTGTGTCATTTTGAAATGTCTCTTAATTCGTTGGGCACATCCTTACTTTCTGGTAGAAGATGTTCCAGACTCATTTTGTCCTTTCGCTGCTCAAATCATGAAACAAGCCATTTTTTTGGTAAGTAGTCCTAGCTCCATTTAGTGGAGAAAGGTACTCAGGAGCCAAAATTTGGATACCAAGTATTCTTGTTGCTACTGGGTGTCATTGCTTCTAGATTCTCTCAGTGGACAAGGCTAGGAACTCTATTTTGTTATATATACCTGCATTTACATCTACGCCTATTTCTACATTGATCAATCTGCATATTGAAATCCATGGCTTCACACCAATGTTTCTTGTAAAGAAGGGCATTCCAACACAACACCACAGGGTCAAACTAGTTTCTCGCTTTCCATGTTGATGATTCCCTACTCCAAGAGTGATAAACTTGGGTACCATAATTCTCATCCTATTTGCTCATTTGACTAATCCCCAGTGTGTAATCAATTTTCCGTTGCTGTAGTCTTCCCCTCCCAGCATCCTGCACTCCCTGATAGTAGCTTCTTCTTGTTTTTATCAGCTTTCACAGCGATGTCTGAACCAGTCACTGAAAAGAGGATGCAAATATCTTTATTTAGACTGACGAATCAAAGCTGGCTCTGGGGTGGTGTCATCTTTCATTGAGATACGCAGACTATGTGTAGGAGAGGTAGGTACCTAAAAAAATTCAAAGTTCTTTTAGAAAAAAAGAAGGGAGAATGGACGTTGAGTTAGCAGTAACAGTGTCCACGAAAGAGCTGTACAAACACATTGCTGTCATTAAAAACAAACAACTCTCATCCCAGCAAGCAGGTCAAACTAAAGGCGGACCTCTTGCATCATCTTTCTAATGATGGGAAGCACACTCCTTGGTGCTAGAGCCAAGGAACAACGTCTGACTGCCGAAAAAAGAACCAATAATGTAAACAGCCTCCATGAACAGCAAAGTATTCAGACAAGAATTCTGGAGCAGAGCCCAGGGCTTAAGTCATGGCACAATAAATATATTCTGAAATCACAGCCCAGCTTTTCCCTATTTTAACCCCCTCCCAGTTTCCTTCCCCATACAATTATTTGGATGAAATGTAAGTGAATTTAAAATGTTACAGACATTGACAACTTTCTCTATGGAAATAAGTGTTGCAGAAAGTTCCACTTTCACCAAAGGGTTGAGGAATGCAGGCTCCTCCATACCTGGGCCACCTGGGCACCATGATGTATTAATATTACCAGACTTAGGCGTTTTTTTTCCATTCTGAAAATTGGCACTCATTGTTGTTTGGATTTGCATTTCTTTAATCATAAATAAAGTAAAACATGTTTTCATATGGTTAAGATATCATTTTTGGCCAGGTGCAGTGACTTATGCCTATAATCCCAACACTTTAAGAGGCTGAGGTGGGAGGATTGCTTGATGACAGGAGTTCAAACCAGCCTGGGCAAAATAGTGAGACCCCATCTCTACAAAAATATAAACAAAATTAGCTGGGTATGGTGGTGCGTGCCTATGGTCCCAGCTACTCAGGTAATAGATAGCTGAGATGGGAGAACAGCTTGAGCCTGGGAGACCAAGGCTGCAATACGCCAAGATCATGCTACTACACTACTACATACAGCCTGGGTAGCTGAGTGAGATCCTGTCTCAAAAAAAAACCATTTTTATGTTTTCTGTGAAAGCCTATTTATATACTCTGTTTACTTTTTTCATTGAATGAATGATTTTTTTCTTAATGATTTGTAAGTGGTCTTTGTACGTTGAGAAAATTATGATATGATTTTGTGATATGAATGCAATTATTTCACCTACTTTGTTTTTGGGGTAGTTTTTTTCTGGTTAATATTTTTTGATTTTTATATTATAAAATGTTTTAATCTTTTGCTTAAGGCCTTATGACCTGAAGAATTAAATTCTGTATAAAGCGTGTTACTGCTAAGCCCTGTCCCTCCCTGTCCACATCCATCCCAAGCAGTTTGGTTTCTACGCCAAGATCTTAGCCCATCCTCTATCAGGATGGACACTCAGCTGAGGCCTTTCATGATGTTCCTTTGTCGTAAACTGAGAGCCCATGGTATTCTAGATGCTGTTCTAGGTGCTGGAGATACAAAGATTCGGGTGAAGAAGACCCAGCCTGTGCCTCCCAGGAGCTCAGAGTCGAGATGTGTGAATGAGCAAGTTGAATAAAGTATATGATAAAAGTCTGTACAGGGTAGAATGGAGCCAAAAACAAAACAAAGTCAAGAAAAATTTATTTATTTTTTTTTGAGATGGAGTCTCTCTGTCACCCAGGTTAGAGTACAGTTGTGTGATCTCAGCTCACTGCAACTCTGCCTTCTGGGTTCCAGGAATTCTCCTGCCTCAGCCTCCCAAGTAGCTGGGAATATAGGTGCCTGCCACCACACGTGACTAATGTGTATATATATATATATATATATTTTTTTTTTTTTTTTTTTTTTTTTTTAGTAGAGACAGGGTTTCACCATGTTGGCCAGGCTGGTCTTAAACACCTGACCTCTTGATCCGCCTGCCTCAGCCTACCAAAGTGCTGGGATTATAGGCATGAGCCACAGCCCCCAGCCAAGAATGTTTTTAAAACGTGGTGATCCTTGATTTGAGTCTTGCAAGTGCCACAGGTTTTTGCCAGGTACATTGAGAGTGAGTAAAAAAGGGCATTCCAGGGAGAAGAAGCATCTGGGGTCCAGCTGCAGCTGCCTCAGAGGGAGGGCACATCTGCCAGCTGAAGAGGGTCCAGATCGCAGAATCCTGAGGATGAGCTTTGCTCTGAGGGTGACTGAAGGGTTTTAAGAAGAGAGAGGTAATCGGGTTTGTAATACACTACTCTTGACGGTAGGGTGGAGAGATTAGGGAGGAATGGTAGAATTAGAGACCTAGAGACCGGAAATGAAACCACAGTTCATGTGACACTTGCAGAGTGCCAGGACCTAACGGTGAGTAATAGAAGTGTGGAGAGCAGACCCTTAGAAGGGTGTGAAGGGGAAAGACCAGCCAAGGTTGGGTGTATTGGAAGGAGGTGGTTTGCACACTGGAGAGAAGGAAGCAGGGAGTGGGGAGTGACATGGAAGGCAGGATCGAGGAGGACTCTGAGTCTCTTTCAGTGTGGAAGATGCTACTGACACTGAGGAGGGAATGCAGGGCAAGGTGGTTTAGTTTTGGGCTTACTGGTTTAGTTTGGTTTAGTCTGAGGTGTCAGTGGGACATCCCAGTAGAGATGACCCATAGGCAGCTGGGAATAAACAGCTGGGGGCTGGAGAAAGCCTAGACTGGAGACACAGATTTGAATTAGTCATCAGTGATAGGGAGGCCCCGACGACAGTAGGTGGGATGGCCAAGTAGTGGTGTAAAGTTCTGCATCTTAAGTATATGATATAGTATAATATAATATATTTAAGGACAATTTCTCACTCTGTCACCCAGGCTTAAGTGCAGTGGCATGATCATGGCTCACTGCAGCCTCAACCTCACCATGCTCAAGTGACCATCCCACCACAGCTTCCCAAGCAGCTGGGACTACAGGCACACACCACCACGCCTGGCTAATTTCTGTATTTTTTTTTTTTTTTTGTAGGACAGGAATTAGCCATGTTGCCGAGGCTGGTCTTGAACTCCTGGGCTCAAGCAACCTGCTTGCCTTGGCCTCCCAAAGTGCTGGGATTACAGGCATGAGCCACTGTGCTCAGCTTTATGTGTGTGTTCATTTAACAAATATTTACATAGTAGCTGCCATAGACCAGGTACTCTATGCATACTTGTTCATTTAAAACAAATACAACTTTTAGGAAGATATTATTATTGCCCTCATTTTGGGGATGTGAGAGGTGAGGTATAGAGAGATTCACCAACCTGCCCAAAGTCTTGCAGGCAAAAGTGGCTGAGATGAGGCTTGAATCTAGGTTCTTTGGGCCCAATACCTATGCCTTCTTCCACCACACTGTGCTATGCTGCTACTTTATACAGCACATTGATTGTCAAGGAAGTTTATAGGAATGAGAATAACTACAACTTATTTTGTCCTGGGTCCCAGTGATCTTTGTACAAAGATTCTACTCCCTGCCCTTACATGGAGACATCTGTGAATTCAGGAGGAGCCTTTGGTTTATGGGTGAAGGCACCTTGCTACTTGTATCTCTTCTCTATGGATGCAGGGCATTGAATGACAGTGAGCAGCTGACAGAGAGGGCTACTGGTCCCTCTCACTCTTGCAAATTTCAGTTAATTTCCCTCTACCTTTTCTACTCCTCCCCACAATGACTCTTGTTTTGTTTCACCAGGATCCAGATGGTGGTGTAAATTCATTATTCCCACAGTAAGTCTTCAAAAAGAATCACTTATCAGTGATAGATAACATAGAAAGAGAAAACAACAGATCACAGCCACATTCAAAAACAAGACAAAATTTATATGGACTAGAAATGTAACAGAAGCACAATTTGGGGGGATGTGGACTTTTGGATTTAGGTCCTGAAACAGGCACAGTGGATGAGAGTTTATATGCTACAAAGTCATGGGCACTAAATGTACTTCACGTGGGGCAAGAGTCCTGGGCCAGGCTCATTACATGTACCTGGGCGCTAGGATTGGGCTGTCCCTGCAAAGGAGGCTGGAAAAAGCTACTGCTGGTTGCATACTCTGTTTCAGGGCCTCTGGCTTATACAGCTACCCAGGAGGGCTGGAGAAAGGAGATCTAGGACTTGAGCTAAGCTCCCTGATGTGTCAAAGGCAGAATCTGAGGCATCTCACCCACCATGAATTGGAATTCCTAAGCCATCAGTATAAGATTTGGTTCAAGACTGGGAGATCTGAGAGAGGTGCAGCTGGAGGTGACCACCAAACTGCCAGGCAGGGAGGGGTAAGTGGAGAAAGCGGAGAGAGATGAGGAAGAGAGAGGAGAGAGGTGAGAGGAGAGAAGGGAAGAGAAAGACAGAAAGAAAAAAAGGAGGGGAAGAGAAAGAAAGTGAGAGAGAGATTTCCATTCAATAGAAGCCTATAAACTAAAATTGCTTTTTTTTTTAAAGATGGTGGAGTCTCACTCTGTTACCCAGGCTGGAGTGAGTGGTGCAATCTCAGCTCACTGCAACCTCTGCCTCTCGGGTTCAAGCAATTCTCCTGCCTCAGCCTCCTGAATAGCTGGGGCTACAGGTGCATCCCACCATGCCCAACTAATTTTTATATTTTTTAGTAGAGATGGAGTTTTGCCGTGTTGGCCAGGCTGGTCTCAAACTCCTGACCTCAGGTGATCTGCCCACCTTGGCCTTCCAAAGTGTTGGGATTACAGGCATGAGCCACCATACCCGGCCTACAAACTAAAATTTCTTTTCTTTTTTTTTTTTTTGAGACAGAGTCTTGCTCTGTTGCCATGCGCCGGGCTGGAGTGCAGTGGTGTGATCTTGGCTCACTGCAACCTCTGCCTCCCAGGTTCAAGCAATTATCCCACCTCAGCCTCCTGAGTAGCTGGGACTACAGGCACATGCCACCAAGCCCAGCTAATTTTTGTATTTTTTAGTAGAGACAGGGTTTCACCATGTTTGCCAGGATGATCTCAATTTCTTGACCTCGTTATCTGCCCGCCTTGGCTTCCCAAAGTGCTGGGATTACAGGCATGAGCCACTGCACCCGGCCACAAACTAAAATTTCTAAACAAACTGAAAATGAAC